CCCGAGCACCGCTGCGGCCAATGGGAAGCTGTGGGGGTGGTGCGTGGGGGCAGCAGCATGCGGAGGCCCCCCGGCCTGCCCCACCTTGCCTTGGAGCCCCAGGTATGTGCCACATCCCTGACCCCCTCCCAGAGCCTGCACCCCCATCCCCTCCCGCCCCCAAACTCCCTCCCCAGGCCTGCACCCCCTCTCCACATACCCCACAGCCCCCAAACTCCTTCCCAGAGCCTGCATCCCCTCCCCCTCCTCCTGCACCCTCACCCTGGCCCCAGCCCAGAGCCTGAACCCAGCACCCAAACTCCATCCCAGAGCCTGCACCCCAATCCCTTAGCCCAGACCTCCTCCCCCACCCAAACTCCATCCCAGAGCCTTAGGCAGGTGGGGGTGGAGTTTTGGGGGTGGTTCTGGGCGGCATGAGTGACATTATTGGCCCTCTGGGAGGATTTGAGGACTGGCAATGAGATAAATTGAGTTTGAGACCCCTGCTTTAGATCCTCACATCTAGGCCATGTCTAGATCTTGCCACCTCTTCCTGTATAATACCTCTAAGATCTGACTTCTCTTCTCCCTCAAAAAAGCTACATTTTTCATCCACTTCTGATCTACTGCAACCTCCTCTCCAGCTTTGACATGTCCCTTCTCACCTCACTTATATCCATTCAAAACTGTTGCAAAAATCATTTCCCCGGATTGTCGCTTCGACCACATTACCCCTCTCTTTGCATCCCTCCCCCCCCGCCCCGTAGGCTCTCCCATCCCTGCTGCATAAACACAAATTACTAGTCTTTGCTTTTAAGGTCCTACACAGCTGATCCCTGCCCTATCTCTTACATGCTACTGAGAAGTCGCATCTCCTCCACCAGTGATGCCAGTCTTCATCACCCATTTGTTTAAGTTTTGAACACACATGCATAGAGAGAGCTCCCCAGAAACTCACAAAGATCACTTCATCCTACTTCAAATCCCTCCTTAAAACCTTCCCTGGCCATTTCCTTTGCCAAAATGCTAATGGTTAGACAGCTGATGTCCTGTTACCTCTGTTTATCAGACTGATCAGTATTGTCTCACTGTTTTCTTGGGTTTCCCCCATCTGTTTGTTGCATCCTTGATTTAGTCCTATGTGGAACACATGATTTGGTTCAAGAGATAATGATAGCTAAATCGCTTGGTAATGGTCACCATAATATAATTAAATTTAACATCCTTGTACAGGGGTACAGGAAGTAGGGGTTCTGGGGGTACAGTAGCTTGAAGTGGTTTCCATCATATACAAGGTTTACAGTTTTGTTCAATGGCTTTCAGCATCCCCACTATAAAAACTGCTCCAATGCCACTGTCCTTGTAGGGCAGAAAAATACCCCAAAAATCCCACTACAGTAACATTTAACTTAAAAAAGGGAACTACACAAAAATTAGGACGCTTGTTAGATGTACATTAAAGGAAGCTGTCACATGGTTTAAATGCCTGCAAGCAGCATAGGTGCCATTTAAAAACACTATATTAGAGACTGACTCAGTGCATACCCCAAATCAAAAAAGACACTAAGAGGACCAAAAGAATGTCACCATGACTCAAAGCAGAGTAATGGAGGCTATCAGAGGCAAAAAGGCATCCTTTAAAATTTGGAAGTCAAATCCTAGTGAGGGCAATAGGAAGGTGCTCAAACTGGCAGGTGAAGTGTAAGAGTACAAAAAGGCAGGCCACGAAAGCATTTGAGAAGCAATTTGCAAAAGATGCAAAAACTAACCGTAAGAATTTTTTAAGTACATCAGAAGCAGGAAGCCTCATGAACAGTCACTGGGGCCTCTAGCCAACCAAGGTGTTAATGGAGAACTCAAGGAAAACAAAGCCACTGCAGAGAAGCTAAATGAATTCTTTGCATCAATCTTTGCTGCAGAGGATGTAGTGGAGATACCCACATCAGAGCTATCCTTCTTGGCAATAGATCTGAAGAACTGCCCCACACTGATGTGTCAGTAGAAGAAGTTTTAAAACAAACTGATAAATTAAATAGTAATAAGTCACCAGGACCAGATGGTATTCACCCAAGAGTTCTGAAGGAACTCAAATATGAAATTGCAGAATTACTAACTGTAGTACATAACTTATCACTGAAAAAAGCCTCTATACCAGATGACTGGAAGGTAGATAATATAACACCAATTTTTAAAAAGTGCTCCAGAGGCAATCCTGCCAATTACAGGCCAGGGAGTCTAACTTCAGTTCCAGGCAAATTGGTTGAAACTTCAGCAAAGAACAGAATTATTACACACACAAATAAACCTGATTTGTTAGGGAAGAGTCAACACAGCTTTTGAAAAGGGAAGATATGCCTCACCAATGTAATAGATTTCTTTGAGGGAATCAACAAGCATGTGGACAAAGGGGATCCAGTGGATGTAGTGTACTTGAATTTTCAGAAAGCCTTTGACAAGGTCCTTCACCAAGCGCTCTTAAAGGAAACTAACTAGTCATGGGATAAGAGGGGAGGTTCTTTCATGGATCAGTAACTGGTTAAAAGCTAGGAAACAAAGGGTAGGAATAATGGTCAGTTTTCACAATGGAGAGAAGCAAACAATGGGGTCCCTCAAGGGTCTGTACTGGGATCTGTGCTGGTCAACATAATCACTAATGATCTGGAAAAGGGAATAAACGGTTATGTGGCAAAATTCGCAGATGACACAAAATTATTCAAGATAGTTAAGTCATGGGTGACGGGTGAGCTCCCATTTTGGGGGGGTTAACCCACTGGCCCTGCCCCTTCCACCCGAGGCCCCATCCGCCCGCATGCTGGAGCCCCCCAAAACCCGCCCCCCCATAACAGGAGGAGTCCTGAGGCCCCCCGGCCCCGCAACCAGAAGAGCCGCGGATAGCCCACCCCAGCCACCACCCAAGGCCGGCCCCCCCAGCCCCAGCGCTGGGCCAGGCCGCTCACAGCGCCAGGCCAAGCTGCCTCCCACCCGAGTGCCAGGCAGAGGCGGCAACCCCTCCCCCTGTCCAAGCTGGCAGCCCCAGTGCCCGCTGCTTGCTCGCAGCATCCCTCCTCACTCCCCTGCTCCTGAGGAGAAGTAACACGGGGATCAGCAGGGACCTGGAGTGCATGTAAGTAGGTGGGGTGGCCTTGGGGAAAGGGCAGGGTCACCGCGGTCCAGGTGTCCCTCGGGGGGTGGTTGCACCAGGGAAGGCAAAGCCTTCCTTGGTCTATTATACCCACCACCTAAGAGTTAAGTCCAAAGCAGACTGTGTAGAGCTACAGGAGGATTTCACAAAACTGGGTGAGTGGGCAACAAAATGGTAGATGAAAATCAACATTGATAAGTGAAAAGTAATGCACATCATTTTTTCCAATCTCAACTACACATAAATAAAGATGGATTCTAAATTAGCTGTTACCACTTAAGAAAGATCTTGGAGTCACTGTGGATTGTTCTCTGAAAATTTCCGCTCAATGAGCAGCAATTGTCAAAAAAGGCTAGGATCTATTAGGAAATGGAAAGAAAAGATGACAGAAAATATCATAATGCCACTTCATAAATCCATGGTGAGCCCACACCTTGAATACTGTGTCCAGTTCTGTTTGCTCCATCTCAAAAAGGATATAGTGTAACTGGAAAAGTTTCAGAGAAGGGCAACAAAGATGATGAAGGGTATGGAGTGGCTTCCATATAAGGAAAGACTAAAAAGATTAGGGCTGTTCAGCATAGAAAGGAGATGACTAGGAGGCGATATTATAGGAGGTCTATAAAATGAATGATGGGGGAAAAAGTGAATAGAGAAGTGGTATTCACTCCTTTCCCACAATGCAAAAACCAGCATCACCTGATAAAATTAACAGGCAGCAGATTTAATATAAACAAGGAGGAAGTCGTTTTTCCACACAATGCACAATTAACCTGTGGAAATCATTGCCATGGGATGTTGTGATGGCCAAAAGTATAAGTAGATTCAAAAAAGAAAAAAGTAAGTTCATGGAGGAGAAGTCCATCAATGGCCAGTAGCAAAGATGGTCAGGGATGCAACCCCATGCTTGGGCAACCCTAAACCTCTGACTTCCAGAAGCGGGGAGGGGATGATGGGGAAGACAACTGCCCTGCTCTGTAAACTCTCCCTGAAACTCTGGTACTTGCCACGGCTGGAGACAGAATACTGGCCTAGATGGACCATTGGTCTGACCCAGTATGGCAACTCTTATACACCTGTTGTTTGAATTCAGACTTTTATTGTACAGGGTAGGGACTGTCTCTTTGTTCTGTGTTAGTACGGTACATACCACACTGAGGCCCGATCCATGATAGGGACCCCCCAGGTCCAAATTCTTGAATGCATCATTTTGATATATACAGTCAGAGTTCAAAAGCTTTAAAACCAACCAGATTCAAATACTTTGGTGATGGGGGGCTATATAAATATCTACATAAAAATACAGACAATGTATTGTGTTGAAAAAGACTACCCACCATATAAATACCTTTTGTATGAACTTCTCCCCAATATTACATAACTAGTTGTTTGTTTTTTTAAAACAAATAACTTTTCTTCTTTTCTCTTTCTTTTATAATAATTAGCTTTAGCTGCCATCATGATGTTAGTATAACTGACTTGACGACTCAAAATGGCCATTTGGAAGGAGATTGGTGAATGCTTGCCAGCTCTTGTATGTGAAACAGTCACTTCTAGTAGCACTGCATATGAGGCAATGCAAGGCAGGAGCAGCATAAATGCTGGATATAGAATATCCTGGAGTCTGCCAGGTGACAGTTACAACATCATCCCAGAGTAGCAACTTCTTCAGATAACCAGGCAGAGCCAGAAGCTATCTAGAATTACTTCTAATTCTGGGGCAGCCACAGTACATTTTGCATGTAATCAGCATTCACTTTTATGAATTGGGGTCTCTTTATCAGTTAAACTACAAACAGGTAAAAATATATAAACATGAGAAATATAAAACAAATGTCCTTTCCACTGTGTTTAGATCGATTTATTTGCTGAACTGTACCTGTAATTTCTGAGATACAGATTCACATTCTGTCATTAGCTGGGGTATAATTTCACCCTGCTTTCGAAGATCCTCCAATTCCTATAAAAACAAACAAACAAAACAAAACAAAAAAGGGAAAATTATAACAAACTTCAGTTTAAAAAAAAGTAATTTGAAGCTATGAAATTAGTTTGCACAAGTATATTGTATGCCACACAACACTGGGATTTAAAATAACTGAAAATAATGTTTTCGCTTTATAAATGGCAGTTGTTAATTTAATAAATTAAATATGATAATATTCATTTCTGCACCACATTTAATCATTTCTTGACTACATAGTTTCTACACCTGAGCATAATCTAATCTCCAGCTAGTTATATTTATGAATTCTCACTACACAGACACATATTCAATGAGACAGAGAGAAATCTAAAACGCAATAATGCTAAGAGAGACCTGGCAGACAGCAAATTAGAAAGGAGTTTGCAATGATATATGGCAGTAAAAAAGGTCACTGGAATTTTGAGCTGTATATGTAAAAACATCACAGAGCACAGAGATAATAGGCCTGAGCATATACATCTAGAGCTCTGAGCAACACCACCTGGGATACTGTATTCAACTCTGAGCACACATTACTAGAATAATATGGACAAACAGAAGGGATTTAGAAATGAGCAACAAGACAAGTAGGTGGCTGGAGAGATGGATTTAAGAGGAAAGTTAAAAAGAGTTTGTTGTTCTGCTAACAGCAAAGGCAGTGGTGACGTGGGGAACATATTTGAAGAATGTAAATATCAAGGGCCAAATCATCCCCCCGTCCCTCATTTAAAGCTGCAGAAACTGACTTTCTAGGTGAAAACACCCACAAGGATCTGCTCCTGGAGATTTCCCCTAGAGTCCAGGAGGAGGCAGGCTGCAATCTGTGGAGTAGACTACAGGATCCACCTCCAAACATGTATTTTATTTCCTCAGATATTCTAAAAAGATAAATAAAGATCAAATGTGTCCAGTTTCGGCAGTCCTGAGTCTAATCTGATATAGGATAGCCAAGCCATATCACACATCACAAGTAGAGAGGTGGGATATGTGACATCTCTTCCAGGTACTGGTGATCTCACAGGAGAATAAGAGTACATAGGAATACGTACCCCATGCTCTACTAAAAAATTGTGCAACAAAAAACATTTCCTCAATATCTCCAGATTCTGTTCCTCCAGGTACAATACCATTTCTCACATTTCAGTTCCCACCCAATTTTTAAAAGAATCTGGTCTATTCCAGAGTGGATTTTTATTTGCTTCCAAACTTTTTGCCAAAAATACCAGCCCACCCAGAAACTGAGCTTTCTTGATGAGTGATTCTATTATCCAGGACATCTCCAATATTTTGTGTGTTCTTCTCCAACTTTGTGACCATTACTTTACAGCATTAATGTAAAGGGTCAAATTGCTTGTTAGCATGGACTGTTTCTGTCCACCAGGTTGAAATCAATTAAAAGCCGCTTCTAATGCAAAAAAAGCTGTTAACTGTGACACAGAGGCTCTATTACTGTGTGTCAGCAAGTCTGGTCAGGCCTGACAATCACAGCACCTCCCACAGTGGGGTCATGATATGGATTTAAAAGGTGACATGTAATAGATCGTTTGAAATCTAACAGCACAACGGTTATTAAAGTCACCGTGAAAGCTTTGTAACAACTCTGTAGATGAAATTATGTATACTCTCTGATATGTCCTGGAAACTGTAAACAAAGATGACAAAACAGGTTTTTTTTATATAAAGGACAATGAAAATATGGCAGCAGATTCCCTGTCAGGAAAGAGGACTCTGACCTGCTGCCTCTGGGCAGTGAGTGGCTAGCCCTGCTGCAGCTTTGTAAGTGGGGGAGAAGTGACCCTACAAGCATCCCAGGGCCAAAGGACAAGGATTTGTGTTGGTATCAGGTGATGAGTTTCAGTTGGCCTGACCAATTCAGTGTTCCCCAACTATGGTTATAATCTGTATCTAAAACGTGTCAAGTAATGTGTCACTGGAAAACTAATAACTCACTGATCATTAATATACTTGTGTGATGGATGTATGTAGTGTGTATTATTAAGAATTATGGATCTATGTTGGAATGATTATTAAAATATGTTTAAGCCAGGCATGTCAGGGGGAGTTGGTAAACAAGTCTGTCCTAGACAAAGGCATGTTTGCTTCTCTGACCAGCCCCATCACCAGACAAACACAATGAAGGTCCAATTTACATATTAGGTAAACAAAGCTATGAGGGTAACAAATAGGGGAGGAGACAGTATGGCATCTACACCCAGCCCGAGAGAAGCTTGGTCCAGGATTTATTTTTCAAAGAATACACTGCAGAGATTTACTGGTTTATAAAGACAAGGGATCTGAACCTCACATGATAACCAACTGAATCAACTGATTGTAAACAATATCACTGTACTAAACAATATCACTGTACTATAAAAGTTTATCAAGTGTGTTATTTTATGAAAGCCTAAGATTCTCTGGTGATTAATATCATCGTAAAATGTATGTATTAACACTATATAAGGAATTATGGATACTTATTGATATTAGGCTTTACAGTATGTCCAAACAAAGGGAGAAACAAGTCTTTCCCAGACAAGAGGGAACATAGCAGCTATTTACCTGTCTCCTATGTAAATTAAGCATGGTGGAATCAAAACAATGGAAGTCTTATACACATGCTGGGGAGTAGCAAGCCCCACAGCATGAGGTCATCCTGCCTCTTTAAATAAGATTGTTGAACTTTGGAAGTTATCAGCAAAGACAGAAGCCATCTTTAGCATCCATCACTAGGTGGACACAAGGGAACAGAACTCTTGCAAGCTGAGAAAGATGGGTCCTTCTACCAAAGAGGGGTTGAAGTCTGTGGGAGCTGAATTAAAGAAACCTGCATAGGCAAAAATCTTTCACCAAGGAAGACAAGGGAAGCCAGCATCTTGTACTTCTGTAAAAGGTCCTGACTGAAGGAAAGTCAGCCCTGGCTGAAAAGAAGCCCTGGTGACAGAAACAATATTGAACAAAGCCTGTACTTTGCTAGTTTAAGTTTTTAGAGTTTTAGGTGCATATTTTCACTTTTTTTATTTGCTTGTGACCCTTTCCAAATTTATTCCTTTTACTTGGCATCAGTTAACCTATGTCTTGTTGTTAATAAATTCACTTTATTTTTACCATAAATTAACTCAGTGCTGTGTTTGAAAGAAAGGTGAATTTACCTCAGTTAATTTAATAAGCTGTAATGTGCTTTTGTCTCTTTAAAGGAGAAATAAACATTATTATTTCTCTGAGCTGTCCAGGAGAGGGCTAGATACTTCAAGGCGCACACAGTTTGGGGGAAATTCGGGACTAGGAGTGTGATGGGGTCACCTTGTTGGTTGTAAGCAAGGCTGGTGGAAGCCAGAGGGGGCTGCGGGGTGGTAGACAGGTTGGGGTCAGAGCTGCTAACCAGGGCTGTATAGCACACAGACACTTAGGGTGTCACCTGCATACTTGTAGGTTGGCTGTGAGCATCTGAGGCTGGAAGCTACAGCAGCAAAGCATTGTGAGGCATCCAAGGGTTACAGGGCAAGTAGTGACAAATCCTTACTGATCTGGATTACACCCCAGAACTCTGTGACAGTAACCTCCTGTGTTTATTTTGAGAAGAGAATCCCCATACAGCTTTAAGCATTCTGATGCCTTGTATAGATCTGTGGCTTATATTTCTTTTTCCCAAAGCCTCTGCACCTCTTTCCATCCTTTCATTTTTCTCTCCTCCCTTTACTGTTCCCCAAATGGACAGAATTTCAGAGGTGCTTCTTTCATGGCTGCATTTGTGAGCAGGCTCCACGCTGGTTTGCCTTGCAAAGCCAAAAGCAGCTTATTTACGGTGGTTTAGAGCTAATCAGATATCCACTACTGTAAGAAACAGTCTGAAATCAGGCTGGGGGTGCAGTTCATTCTCAAAAACGAATGGAAGCTAGGTCTGTAATATTCATGAGCCAATCATTTTTCTGGTTGATTTGGTGTCTGGAGAATGTGAACCTCAAGGAAAATGCTAGCACAAAGTGGGGGTTATTACATATGCTATTAGAGCAGAAAGGTTGGGAAAAAAGCATGACATTTTCCTTTGAAACTTGGTGCTGAAAACTACATTACATTTTTAACTGTGCATCAAAATCCATCTCCCTAACCTATCCCCTTGTACCATCTTAAAACTACTTAATAGCACTGCTCTTTAGGAGCACCAGCTGAGACGTTATAATGGCACTAGGCAAGCTTCACTACACCTGCTGTCTGCATTTGCTCTCGAGTCGGCACAGAACATTTGGTTTCTACTGGGGGGGGAGGGGGAGAACCTCAAAGATTCCATTATTTCCCCCTCTAGTCAGGGGCTATAAGTTTCCAACATTATTCGCCTTAGCAAAATGAATACCCTCTAAGCTAAGATGAGAGATTTAGGAATTGTGAATGAATCTGTCAGTAACATCCTCTAATCTTAATCTCCGTCTTGGACTTAATTCTTAAAATCAGAAGGTGTGTGTGGCAAAATACTAAAATATAAGATTCCACTGAAAAAGAGCCTCACCTGTCTTAACAAAGATACTAAATTCTCTTGTAAGGGATGTCTTTTTACTGACAAGCACCTTAAAGTAAACAGCTCCCCTCCTCCCATATGGTAAAGTGGGGACTGAGAGCAGTGATTCTGAGATTCTATTTTCAGTTCACTTGCTGTGTGACTTTGGGCAAGGCAATGAACCTCTCCAGCTCATTTCACCCATCTGTAAAATGAGGATACTCCTACTTACCTGTCTCAGCAGGTGTTATGCTGTCTAACCAATTAATGGTTTTAAGAGGCACTGAGATCCTCAGAAGTGTGAAGTATCATTTTTGTTAACAATTGTCAAACTCAAATGCCAAATCAGATTAAAAATTCAGAACCTACAGTGTTGTAAACAAGCGATTAGGGGACATGACTGGAGATCTAAAGAGTCTTACAGCAGCTAGAAAGAGCAGTAACTTTAAACGCTGGGCTCCCTTTGACTGGGGTGACACACTGTATGTGTTGCTTTGTGTAGTGAAAAGCAGATGGGCCCACTCTGACTTTAAAGAATTTGTGCCATTTCTAAGTTTATTTTACTTACTAGTTCTTTGTCTTGAAGTTCTGATTCCAGTTCCTGGAGGCGCCTGTTCAGCTGTGCATTTCTTTCCTTCTCTTTATTTATTTCATTGCATTGTTCTTCTAGCTCTTCAATCTTTAAAAAAAGATCATAGCAAACTCCAATTCTCTGCAAATCTAGGGGCAGATCCTCAGCTGGTGTAAACCGTTCCAGCTCCACTGGAATCAATGGAGGTACGACAATTCACATCAACTGAGGATCTCCCCCCCCTAGAGTATACCAGTTAGTACAACAGATCAAAGTTACCATTGTTATATTTAAAATGACGAACAACAAAGTAACCCATTTACACACATACTAGGCAGCCTCACAGGATGCATTTATTGTATCTCACATAGTGCCTTATGTAATTACATGGGACTGTGCAAAGCACTGGAATGTCATAATAAGTAATGAGGAGCAATGGATGGGATACATTTGCACTTCCATTTTTATGCAAGTATGAGCAAATAATTTATGGGTTTTTTTTAAAAATATGGTATGAGGAAGTAAGCTCTCTGGAGTTCCCAACATCATCTCCTCAAGGCCTGTCTATTATTCCAGCAGGAATAAGTGGGCTGGATACAGCATTAAAACTTAGCCAGAAGGATTGGTACAGTGTGACAGATGGTGCTTTGTTCTCTCAGACAGGGAATGAGCTTGCTGATTCTATACTTCTTCTAGCCACCTCTGGACTCAGATCTTGTGTGCTGCGCTGCTCCTAGGCCACCAGGCTCTCTCATTAATGTATTTTTAATTCTCACTGTTGGGTTACTCTGGGATTGTACTTGGCATCATTTTAAGATAGACCAATGTGCAAAACTGTCTAACCCAATTAACACAGGAGAAAGAATTTCCCAGCACCCCATACGGGTGCAGCACCAATGCCTATTGAGAAACCTACTTGAGAGAAGAAACAAAGAAGAATCTCTCTCTCTGCAGGAAGATCAATGACATTGTATGCAGACAGTGGGGCTATATCAACCACAGAAAGCATCTGACTGTTGGGCTATAGGTACCTTAACCACTGCATCAGAATAAGGAAGCGTTTTTGTGAACCTGCTAATTTTTGACTATACTTAGAGAGAAGTGGCACATTCGCACCTGGTCATGTCAATGAAAGCAACTTTCCTATGTAACATTACACAAAAGCAAACATTGAGTAAATAATTTATGTTGCATGCTATGCTATTTAACTGTAATCTACTATTTCGATCAGCTATTTCTCCCTTATACATAAAAGAAACCTTCGCTGCTAGCCTTGACAATGAACTATTAACTCTTTGCTCTAGGAACCAGATTTATCTAACAACCTAATATTACCTTGATGCTAACAATTAGTGCCAGGCAATCTTGACACCCAGCATGGGTTAAGTGGTAGTCTAAATACAGTGAAAGCTTGTTGTGAAGCACTGATTTACTCTATGGGAATTATCTCCACATTCTGACAGTGACGTCCCCAAACTGCACACAAACAGATATACAATTTCCATCTTGCAAAACAGAGTGAATTCCAATAGGCATTTTAGTGCCCTGACAGACAGGTAAGACAGGTTACATCTGTCTATCAGTGGCACTCCCACAAGCTATAGCATTCTTCACTGGGAGCCAAATGGCATGCAAAAAGGAATGAAAGTCACACCTACCCCTGAAAACAATAGAAAATCAAAAATCACTTGCAATCTGCGCTATACATTGAATGCCCCAGAGATCTGTATACGTGAAAGGCAAAAACAGCAGCAGCAACAGCCCCAGCTTTTTGGAAAGTAGCTTAAGATCAATAGGCTGAAATTATCACTACAAGCAGTATTCACGGAAACTGAATTCCACTGTATTCAGCAGACTTGTACCAGTGCGTGGGCCAATTACAAGCTTTTGATAGATAGCACCATATTATTTTAGTGACAGTACAAGCTACTATTCTAAGCCAGGGTTTTTAAAAATCTAAATTTACATCTCCCAAGTGTTCTCTCTTGTGGTTTTCATTTGATCCCTGTACTACAGTGCTGTGAAATTACACGCTCGGTAAGGAAGGGAAAAAGGCTTTTGGCAACGATCTCCAACAGGCTTATGGAGTGGAAATATGCGGCTTTTAAGCTGGTGGGCCTGATTCTCAGCCTGGCTCCTCCTCCTCCTCCCTTTTTGTGCTTACAGTATTGTGGGTACAACTCGTGTCATCACTTAGCTGTCTGATTTTGAGATTTAATTAGCATTATTGACAGGGTTAAATCAGCCACTTTACCACAATGAGTGAGCTCACGGCATCAATATACTATAGCTAAATAACTTATGAGAAGAGTACACTATGGTAATCGTCTTCATTGGAATTCTCTTTCCTCGCATCCTACCCAACAGCATGGACAGACAATATTATAGCTCCACCAACCAGCGAGCATGGAATCTTGGGTGATATGCAAGTCCCAGCCCACCTACTGGCTCCCAGTTCTTTGCCTCCTGCATGCTGGAAGCAAGAAGTAGCCATCTAAGTCTCCTCTACTCCATTCTTCCTCTCTTTTTACTTTCTAGCATAAGAAAATACAACGAAGCAGCAGAGAAGCACAACACATGAGTACAAAAGAGATGCCATTGCCGTCTCTGTTCTGCCTAGGCTGAGAGAAGAGGCGCATCGGAAAAGGTTTAGAAAGAACCATATTAAGGATTTTTAAAGCTTAATTAATAATATTACAATAAATATATATTTCAAAATGATAATTCAAAGAGTTTGGGTCTGGATTTTATAACTGGTGGGAATCTGAACTTTGTTTTTTGCTTCTGACCTTTGGTGCTGCTGCTGACTGCCCTCCTCTGCTTGGTTCAGTGCTTGGCTGCAGAGTCCTCAGTAGCTTTTGATTAGTATTTGGACAGCCTAGTACTGCTGGTTATGTTTGTAAATATCATACAGCATGGGCTGTTTGTGAGGACACTGGCTTGGGGCAAGGAAAGAGAAATAGGAGAGGAGTCCCCAAGCCAGGGTTCTCTGGCATTTCAAATGGTGCTCTGGGTTCATTTTATCCTATCTAACCCACTCATGTTACCTTGTTCCTGAGTTGATCATTCTCTTCCTTGCATTCTGAAAACTGTTTTTTCCAGTGCTCTACACTGGCAGCAGATTCTTGGAGTGCAGAGGTCAGTCTGGCATTGCTCTCCCTTAGAGTCTGCAGCTCTGTTTCCCATTTCTTTACATTGGAAGAACTGAAAACAACAGGGTAGAGTTAGATTCACTAATGCTTTAGTTCCATTTAGTACTCTGTGAGAACACCTGATTGCAACAGTGGGTGGCAAGCTGAATTAGATACAGTATCCTACTGGAATGACCACTGCACATTGACCCTGTCAGAGAATATCGGACCTGCTCAAGTGTATAGATCACTTGTCTCTAATGAACAGTCCACAGATAATACAAGTTCTAAAGCTACTACATCTAGCATAATAGATGTGCCATTAATTCAAGAAGGAGGAGCTTGTGCTTTTGGAATCAAAAGTACTATTGTCAGTGCCAGATGTGAGGTTTAGTTTAGATGTGTGGTGTTTGCAGTCATGGATTTTTACAGCATTCTTTACTTCCTGTCCTAAGCTGTACTGAATTGTAGCTGTGAATTGTTAAACAGTGGCTGCCTTTCAGGTGGTACCTACACATAGTGTACATATCAGTTTATAAAGCATGTTGGGATCTTTCCGGATGAAAGATAATACTATAGTATTTTATACAGTAAGCCAAGAAAAATATATATACTCTGTAGGTAAAATACTTTCACTTCTTTTGTTTGATTTTAAATATCTATATAGCTATAAAATATTTAGGGTTACCATACATCCGTTTTTTCCCGGACATGTCTGGCTTTTCGGCAATCAAACCCCCATCCGGGGGGGAATTGCCAAAAAGCCGAACGTGTCCGGGAAAAATACCGTCCGGGCACTTCCTCTCCCGCGGCTGCTCTGCTCCTCCCCAGACTCAGACTTCAGCTCTGTTTAAGAGCCAAGCTGCCCGAGCCAGCGCTACCGGCTTCGGGCAGCCCCCGTGCCTCCGGGCCCTGCGCCGCCGGAGCAGAGCAGCTGGAGCTGGGGAGGAGAAGTGCCCGGCCGGCGGGTGGGGTCCGGAGGCACGGGGGCTGCCCGAAGCCGGTAGCGCTGGCTCGGGCAGCTTGGCTCTTTAACAGAGCTGAAGTCTGAGTCTGGGGAGGAGCAGAGCAGCTGGAGCCAGGGAGGAGAAGTGCCCGGCCGGCGGTGCAGGGTCCGGAGGCACGGGGGCTGCCCGAAGCCGGTAGCGCTGGCTCGGGCAGCTTGGCTCTTTAACAGAGCTGAAGTCTGAGTCTGGGGA